AAAACAAATAACCTGATTAATACATTTATTTAGGAAAGTCTTTATACTATACTGTTAATGCCATTTTTACCTACTTCATTTGAAGTTTTCCAAACAAATTCAATGAGTCTCTGCGAAAATGTATGTACGTGCTGTTTAAGATATTTTTTAAATAACACATTTTTACTAGTTAATTAGCAAAATACTAATATTCAGCTTAAAGCGCAATTTAAAAGCTTAACTATTGGCTAAACTAGGCAAAGTAAATTAATTTTAGAAAAGTAAACAAAGTTATAAAAATGATTGTGATAATTTGGTTGCTCTGTGTGAATATTTTTGCCTATAAATGCATCTCGTCGATATCTTTACCTTTTAATTAGCTCTGTGACATTGACATTGGTTGACTCCTGATACTCAATGTTAAAAACATAAAAGGAACCAAAGAAAACACAGAGATGGCTGCAGAGAAATTTAGCTTATCATCAATGCATTGTCTCACTTTCTCCTCAATACTGACCATACACATACCGAAACTGAACAGTATATATATATATATATATATATATATATATATATATATATATATATAGCAACATAAAACATCAGAGTACATGGGGTAATAATGGTTGAGCAGTAATTTACCATTTATTATCACAGTAACTATCTGTAATGGGTACATAAAGTAAATTACTGTAATCTATTCTTTGCACTACAAAATTTCATACAAATCCTGCTCCTTTTACAGTAAAATACTGTTTCCTTTTAATACAGCAAAACACTGGCTATTTTACAGTTATTTACTGCATAATCTACAGTAAGGGTTAACAGTGCAGCAAAGGTGGAAAGTTCATTCTGACCCAGCTGGGGCTCGAATCAGTGACCTTCTTGCTGTGAGATGACTGCTACCCACTGCCTCACAGTGACACCTCAAGGTGGAAAGTCATTGTGTATATTTAACAAACAGTTAACTACAAATTTTATATGATTTTGCTCACATGGATAATTGAATATTAATCAGATGATGTCATTACGCTGCTGGCCATCAGCCAATCGCTGCATTGCTGATCATGATTTTGAGAAGCATAGATCTGTCCTTTACAACACATGCAGTGATCTCAGACCAGTTCATCCAGATATTTTAATCTGATTCGCAAACTTGTTTGAAAAAACAAATTAGCCAGAGATCAGTTATCAAGATTAAAAAATCCAGGATCTACCAAATCCAGTGTTGCCAGATTGGGCGGTTTCCCACCCAAATGGGTGGTTTTAAATTTGATTGTGTGGGTAAAAAATGGCTTTTGCGGGTTGAAAAAAATTGGGACTGTTTTGAAATTAAATGAAATTTTATTTGCAACTTATTTAACAAAACATAACTGTGTGTTCCTACTCCATTCAGTTAGTGACCAGTGCAAATTGCAATCCGTGACGGCCCCTCTGCAAGAGGAGGTAAAGGCATACTGTCAACACTCCCGTTTTTCCCAGGAGTCTCCCGTATTTGTTATTTCTCCCGGAAAACTCCCGTAATTTGGCCCCCAACCCCCCTCCATACCCCTTCCCCCAGTCCTCAGCTTTTTGATACAATCTATAACACCCTCGGATTGCTAAAGTTGGTACAATATTCAATCCCAGTGGCTGCACAAACCACGGTCCATATTACAGACCAGGCACATGCACAGATGTCTCTTGGATGAAAAGTGCCCTTCAAAAATGAACAGCAGTGCACCTTCAGTTCACGATCACCCACCCCGCTCTTCAGTCCACCACCCAAGGGAAGTGCAGGCACTTCACCATCATGAAGTGCCTGCAGTTCAACTCAGCAGTTTAATCATAACACATCTATCAATCATTTTTGAAAGCAACAACAAACATAGAAGCGTTGTCTGATTGACAAGTAGCACCTAATTATGTTGAAAAGAATTTCAAATGCCAAATGAAACTATGCCCCATTTCGAAAGTAAAATCAACACAACAAGTGCAGTGTGTGGGTGAGAGGTGGCAGTGTTTCGATTTGATCCAGTGTGTGGTTCTGTGACTGCTGGTGTTCTTTGCTGTATGATTAAAAATTATGACAAAGTAACTGTCAGATGTATACTAACGAAGTAGAACTACTTCACTACTGTACTTAAGTACTAAACGGCTGTATCTGTACTCTACTGGAGTATTGTTTTTTCTCCTACTTTCACTTTTACTTAAGTACATATTTTCGATGAGTTTAATACTTTTACTCCAATAGATTTTTTATGTGCTCCATCGTTACTAGGGGTGTCAAAATTATTGATATCGGTTCAGTAATAGATCATAACTGGTTATTACGTACTGACGTCATTTATCTCCTACCCACGATACTATGGCGGAGGCGAGGGCCAGTAAATAACGCTCCTACTACAATGAAGACAGCACAGCACACAAGCTGCTATTTCACTACTACGGAGAAATGCTGTTAAACTCCATCTGTGCGTTTGGGTAACTTTTCTTCTCCTCTTGGCTGTTAAAGAGATACTTGTGGATCCAGACACGAGCGTGCCTGAGGTGCAAGTTTTCTCTATTGTGTCTTTCTCTATTGTGTCTCTATTGTGTCTCTTGCAGGAAAATATCACATGCATTTCAATTTACTCAAATCAGATTCAGGTCTTGTCCATATGTGAAAATTTATCCAATATGAATCGGATATGTGTTCTCATGTCTGCAGTGTAAGCAGGTAGATCGAATTTTCACCTGTCAATGTGAGTCGCACGTCATTAAAAACCATAGTGAATGATGTCAAGTCTGACACTTTCATTTCAGAACAGACTCGCAAACCTTAAGTCTCATACACGAGGACTTAAACAGCTTTTACATTGTCATATAGCACAGGTATTTGAGCATGTTAACAAGAGCGAGAGAGCACAATGTCCACCATGTAACCAATATAACCTAATATAAAACTAGTTCATCCTGGTCATTGTGCCTTTGCCGTGTGCTGTGTAAATGCAGACAATCGGATACAAGTCACTTTTAAAAGATGATGTAAGCAGGTCATTAAAAAATCGGAAACAGTCACAAAATTTGGAATTGACCATCAAGATCTACAGTGTAAATGCAGCCTCATGGATTACCTGTGATAAGCACGTATTATGCGCATATAGACTGTAACCGCGGCTGTACTTCCCGCCATCGGTGAACAGTGCTTTCATTTCTAAAGCCGATCGCAGCCCTTTCTGTTTAGCAGATAAAGATTAATCAATCATAGTAAGACCTCGCCTGTCAGCGCTCAAAAAGCAAGCGAGATAATATTTACATTAGTTTATTTGCTGTAAAAGCTCCTGCTGTGTTCTGTGCTTGTATTGGAGTTTTGTTTAATACATTCAGAAAGAGGTCAAATTAAGGGTACAGTTCATATATCTTACTGCTGTATTGAAGAACAAAAATGTATTACAAATAATATATAAATATATTTATAGATTTTAATTTAAAAAAATTATCATGTTGTGAAGAAAATATTTAATTATGTGTGGAAAGCATCGTCAATGCACTGTAATGCACTGAGATATCTAATTGAAGCGAATCAATGGCATGATAATCCTAACCGAAAGAAACCAATCCGTGGGACCAGTGTAAACAAAACAAACCTGTGCTGGTCCTTAATGGGCCTACTTAGGCAGGCCTTTGGCCCCCATTGGCCCCTTATTGCTAACACTACATGCAGCCATCACTGGAATCTATAACATGCAACGGTGTAAATAATTTACAGTTCAGTCATTATACATTTGGAATTATTGCCATCCCCTTCTCTGTGGCATTATTTATGACAAGGACCAGTTAATCTGTATGTAGAAATGTTTAAAATAGATTATATTTTAGTTGTTTCAGATGTTTATAAGTGTTAACACAATGACACAAAAATAACAGAAGAAGGAAAGATTTATTCACACTTGGTGTGCTGAAAGTCCCAAAGTGATAGTCCACCAGTGTATATATACAATCCAAAAGTCTGATAATACACAAGCTTGCAAGAACATCCTGGAAAGGTAATTTCAGACAATGAAAAAGACAATGAAAACTCCACAATCCAGAAAACATTGCAATAAAAGTTTTGCAATCATTGGAGATCACACATTCTTTAAGTGTAAAAGATGAATTATTTAAAAAAGATTTGGAATCCATTTTTTATATAAAAACAGTACCACATGATTTAATTTGACAAAGTAGTTTTTCTCCATTGGTTTATACTGTATCTACGCCCCTTTTATTTATTATTATTTTATTTATTTTTATGTATTATGTGTGTATGTTTTACATTAGTCTGTTTGTTGCTTAGTTTCGATGTTCTGTATTGTTAACTATTAAAAAAGCTAAATAAACATATATAATAAAAAGCACTAATGGCCCAACATTTTGTTATTGAGGAAACTCACAAGGGCTCTTTGCTTTTAGCCTGCTCTCAGCCCAAATGGACTGGTCAACACTAGGCCTTCATGGGATTAATGTGAGCTTTTCACTAGTGTAATCTAATCACTCGGAGCCGACAATGAGCCTGCAATTGTGGGCCATACCTGGTTTATCTCACACAAGGCCTGTTTAGATTTGCTTAGAGGTGGAAGCAGCTCATTATGCCCACAGGATGCCAGCATGGGGGCAGCACAAGCATCTTTGCTGGGTGATCAGTTCAATTTTCAGTACCAGGAAGGGATGCGCTCACTTCCACCCTCAATGTCCATGACTAAGGAGCCCTTGAGCCAAAAAAACTGCCTACTTATTGTGTATTTTCACAATACTCTGCTATTAATGTGTGTGCTTAGATGCAGAGGACAAATTCCAAGTACATGCTGTTTGTTACCAAACTCGACCATCAAGTCATTTAATTTAGGATTTATTTTTATCTTAATTTATACATTTGATGGTTATGTTTTTACACTCAAATTAATGTTAATATTAATTTTAAAAATGTCTTAAACTGGAACATGCATCCCACTGTCTTTTACAGATTTTCTGCCACGTGTTACATAATGTGAAAACTATACTGCTTTATATGGTCACTCATTCTTTTCCACCCCTCCTCCTTTGCACTCAAACTTTCCCTTGTCTTTACCTGAGAAAACAGACACACCCAGCATCTTCAGACCTACCAATCACGGTACAGAAGAGAGACGCCCAGACTGTTCACTTCCTGTTTCTGTGACAGAATGGCTGACTTGCTCAAACAAATTCTAACGCAATCACTGTGGGTCTTCTAAGTTTATGAGAAGTTAAGCAAAGCTGCGCACAAGCTTGAACAGACATTTACTTTTGGATTCGTCTGTAAGACAGCGCTGGAGGGGGAAGCATAAGGAAAACAGAAACACAAGGAGGGGAGGAAGATAAGTGTCAATCTGTTCAAACTTGTTTGGGAATTTGAGACGGGACGGAGGAGGGGACAAGAGAGAGAGAAACCGAGAGAAAGACTGAAAGGAACACTGAGAATTTTTTTAAACAGTGTTGACAACAATTTTTTGCATTAAATAAGACAGGCAGGCTGAATAATTTAATCAGTGTTTTCAGTGGAGCATTTATCTTACTCAACTTTGGTTCTCTCAAAGGGCAAACACTGATATGTGGAATGTCTATGGATTGTGCAACTCTTGTTACTTTGTCTAAAAAGTAAAAAAAAAAAAAAAAAAAGAGGTAAAGAGACAGTGAAGCGTCCCCCAAGACCCTTCTTAGGTGAGTTCTCTCCATTATTCCCAACTTTTTTTTTTTCATAAATTTTGCATAACAAACAGTTCTGAACAGCAATAAACAAACTTGTCCATATCACCAGTAAATATTGCAATGATAAAATTTATTGTTGTAAGTCCTATTCTTAAAGTCACTTTTTTAATGCATTTCTTAATGCGTTATGTGTTCACCACATTGACATGAGTCAGCTTTGTACATGTTGGTTCAACCCAATTAAATAATGCTTCAGCTCTTCCTAGAAATGAATAACATAAAATGCATTGAAAACAAGGTACAGGAATAGTAAAGGGCAGTTGTTGGTTCAACTACATTCTTTGTAATTCATAAATTAATACATGTTAATTTGCTTAACCACTAATAGGCTCATTTACACATATATTTCTTCTATAAATACAACATTTAACATTATGCATTTCTTATTAATTGAACTGATGTGTGTAATTGATGAGTGTAAAGAGTTACATTTAAACATCAACATTTATATATATATATATATATTACCAACACATTATACTTGAAGAGACTTATTTGAGAACAGTTTATAGTTGCATTGTGTTGCTATAAATTCTATGGTAGGCTATAGTGTAAGAACCAGGGGCATGGGTTACATTTCCTGGGATATTTAAAATGGGATAAATGTAAATTAACATTTAAGATAAATAATGTGAAACTCTAAAAAATATATATTTCACTGTGACTGTTGTAAAAATACATTTTGATTAATTGATTTATTGACGTCCAGAACATTTGATCCCTTTTAGGTTCTCTGTGCCATGGAAATCAGTCAAAATAACTGGGCCCCTCAAGACACTGTGCAAATGCAGACCTCTTAAGGTGCAAAGGGCTGTGTCAAATTCAGGGCAAGTTAAAAACAGCAAATTATGGACAGAGAAAGAGCAATGATGCAAGATTCATGTGATGGGACTAGGGAGAGGGACAGACTCCCTGCAATTAGAAGAAGAGAAATGGACTGGAGAGAAAGAGAGAGATGGAGAGATGGAGATCAATATGCAAATGGGAAGTCATCATTGTTTGAGCACACTGTACATGGAGAACGAGACAACGAAAGCAAAAAAGGGGACACTTTTCCGAGGATGACAAAAGCAAACAGAGAGAGAGATAGAAGAATTCCACTTTCAGAGAATGAAAGGCAACGTCGTTTGGGAAGACCTAAGGACACAACCTATGAGGATGAAAAAGAGAGGGAAAAACGAAGATACAGAGATATGGACACAAGAAGACACATGAAGGAGCATTCAGATAAACTAAGAGAACAAGAGTTTGAATTAGGAATAAGAGGGAGAAGGAGAGAAGGTCATACAGGGACCAATGACCCTACAGGAATGAGGGAAAAAGAGACAGACAGAGAGAGAGACAGATATAGACAAAGAGACAGAGAGGTCAGGTATTATCCACGACCCATAGAAAGAGAGACAGAGAGTTTTTCAGACAAGGAATGGAGGACTGAGAGACAGAATGGGGCAGAAAGATCTAGGAAAAGAGATACAAAAAGTGAAGGGGACAGTGATGGAGATAGAGGTAAGGAAATGAATAGAGAAGCGGTTACTAAACCTGGACACAAACTCTATAAGAGTGAAGGAGATAGTAAAGCAGACCAAAGAGTAGACCGAGTTAGAGAAAAAGACAGACGTAGAGACCAAGAAGCATGGAGATATAAAGAAATGGTGAGACCTAGAGAAAAAGACTACAGGGAGACAGGCTACTATGATAAAAATGGAATGAGAAAAGATAAAAGGCCTGACAGAGATGCATACTCAAATACACCTGAGAGAGGAAGATACAGAAATGCAGAATTGGAGAAGGATGGATATTCTGAAAGAGAGATTGAAGACAGGGAGAGGTGGAGAAGACAGAACAGAGAGCCATATCGAGACAAGATGGAGAAAAGTGGACAACGTACTGGAGGGAAGATTTCAGGAGTTGAAATTGAGAAAGAACATAATAGGTCAGTGGGGGAGAACCTTGAGGACAGGAATAGAAAAAACACTTCTGAGAGTGAAAAGGAGAAGTTGAAAGGAAGAACAGATGGAGAGCAGGAAGTACGGATTGCACCAAGGGAAGAAGAGGGTAGACAAATTGTTGTTGAGGAAACAGTTACAAAAAAATTTACAGGCAGAATAATGAACAGGTGGCTGGAACCCCGAAGAGAGAAAAACCCATCTCTTTTAGAGGAGGACTACAGAGACAGAGAAAGAGCACGGGAGAGGTACAACCAAAGATTCAAGGAAAGTACGAAGTATGAAGAAGATCCTGCAAGAAATAATGAAAGCAAGAGAACGAGTGCTAAGGACAAGTATAGGGCTGGGGAATTCATGGGGGACATAGATGTAGAAAGCAATGAAAAACTAGATAAACAAGAGGACATGGTTAATGACAAAGAAGCCGTGGAACCAGAATGGCGGGCAAAAAGAGAAATTGGGGGTAATAACATGGAAGTTAATGAAAGAGAGGAAGAGAGAAGCATTGATCGACACGACTACTCAGGAATTGAGGAAGGAAGTGAGGGAGAATCAAGAGCAGAGAAAGACAGAATAATATCAGCAGATGATGGATTTGTGACAGTCTCTAGTGGAGGAGATATTGAAGACTGTATGGATTTCCGGAATGGTGAAGTTCCCACTGATATCTCTGGATGCTCAGAAGCTACACAGGGTGAAGAGAGAGAACCCCTTAGGGTTTTTTGTGTGATTGGTCTAACCCCTATTGAGTCACAAACCAAGCAGAATCCATATATAGATACTGCTTCTGAGGAAGCCACCGATCAGCATTCAGATCAAAACATAGACATCCAAGGTGTTATGTTTATTGAGGATGCAAATGAAGCATTTGAAAAGTTTGAACACAAGGAATCTGACATAGAAGGAGCAATGGATGACCTCGCTCTTTCTGCTAATGAGGAAAAAGTGGAGCAAACAGGAGATAATGACCAGGGAACAGATGACATAACATCACTGAAAGGTCAAATGATTCCTTCCAAAGAGGGAGCAGAAGAAGAGCCTGCAGAGCCTTCTGTAACTTTAGACCCCTGCAATGATGATGGACCTGAGACTATAGTGGCTCCTAGTGAAGATGCATTACACAGAAGAGAAATGGAAGCTACTGGAAACACAGAGGAGCATTTTGATTCAGATGACACATGGAGCACATGTGAAGAACGAAAGCGATGCTCTACTGCTCCTCACCTTACATGGGCAAAGAATGTTGTGAAAGAGATCCTGGGTCCGAATTCAGAAGACACAGAACATATGAGAGGTAGTGTGACACACATAGACATACAAATAAACACACAAACAGAAACTGACAGAGAAATTAACATATCGAGGGAACAGGAAGAACTAATACAGGGAGAAGAGAAACAACAAGGAGAGATTGAAAAGGAGTCAGATGAGGAAACTATCTTGTTGGATCCAAGTTGCATTGAACAGACAGTTTCCTCAAAAAGAGAGGCAGATAGGACAGTAGAAGGACACGTTTCTAAGAGGAAAGATAGCATAGAGAATGTCATTCTTGGTTCAAGTAGCTTTCGAGAATTGGGGAATGAGGCCCGCATAAGGAGGAGGGGTATCCGAAAAACAACAGAGGGAACCAAAGAAGAGGAAGAGGATGAGGAAGAGGGAGGAGTTGGAAGGGACCGCAGGACCAGAGTATTCAACAATTCAGGTGAGAGGAGGACTAAAATAGGAAACGTTTAATGATCCTGATCATTTCCACTCTTTAGCAAGACAGCTAAAATCTTGAGAAGGCTATTTAATTTTTCCTATCAAATTAAATGACAGTGATATAATGTCAAGCAGAGAAGCTAAATGTGCTTATGCAAAAATTAGCACAGACCTTTATGAGTCATCATCCCCAAAATGACTGCCAATATGGGTGTTAAAATATCAGTATTCTAAATATTACAACAATGTTTATAATTCACAACCATGTAATGTCTTTTTGAACATGCAAAAACCTGCTAAAAAGTATCGTTTGGGTTTATTTCGAAACAAGTTTAAAGTAAACATCAATTCATAATTTATATATTTGAATTGCATCAATATGTTTCTTTTGATCATTTGTTTGTTAGCATGAATGCAAGATTTGCAATATGCTATTAACATTACATTAGCTTACTACTAACCTGTTGAAAGGCAGTCATCAAAATCAGGGAACTCCTTTTTTTCTGGGTTTGGGGCTTGTGACTACTTTTATATGAGCATCAGTGATCTGATGATTTGCCTTAATCTGAATAAGACAATAATATGATTCAGGTGTTTACATAAGTTGCTTTTTGAATTATATATTCATGATTCCCAGTTACATGTTATGGTCTACATGGTCCTTTAAGATAATTCCATGTTTCTATTTCAAAAGTATAAACTTCTATGCCAATGATCACCTCAGATACTTATTACTGTGCTCTAATCACCTCAGATACTGTGCTTTATTCAGTGTCAAATGCTAATGTGAGTTTGAATACCATTACATGACATTTATTGCCAAACTGAAATCAGAAGCAGATAGTTTACCTCGGATCTTGAAAATAAAATACATACTGTATATTTTAAAATTGAATATTGGAAGTGTGAAACCAACAATTATCAGTCACTCAGCATCTACTTTAAATAATGTTAAAGAGGTTAAATTCGTAAATATTGTAAATCTTACCAGTTAATTGGAGTGCAGTGCAATATTCTGTGCTTCTGAATAGCTACAGTATTTTTAAAAAATTCTGTTGTGTTGTGTCTAGTGCAGACAGAAAAACTGAATGTTGCAGGAATTTTGATGTGTGTTGTTGGGAGGACACAGTGTTACAACGTAAGCTGCCTTGCTAACATTTACATTTGTAATGTTTATATTTTTTGCTAATTAAAAGTCACCTCATGTGGATTTTTTTAACTGAATCTGCATCTCATTTCGGAGGCTGCTACTGTCCCCCAGGCATTGCATTTTTGGCCGTGGCTGGATGCATTAAGGCAGCCTTTATGACTGAAATAAAATGCACTGTGGCTGTTTCTCAATTCCAAGAACACAGAGAATATGTTCATGTGGAGACGGTTCTTGCCAAGTTACCTCAGAAGAACGAACTCGGGAGACCATGAGAACAGACAACGTGTCCTCTGAGCAATTAGACGCTGCGTTCTTTTCCATTGGTTACATGACCTTCATATATTCCATTCATTAATTTTCCTTTAGCTAAGTCTCTTTATTCGTTAGGGGTCGCCACAGTGGAATAAACCGTCAACTTATCCAGCATATGTTTTATACAGTGGACACTCTTCCACCTGCAACCCAGTACTGGGAAACATCCATGCACACTCATTCACACACATACACGATAGATCATTTAGTTTATTCAATTCATCTATATCGCATGTCTTTGGAGTTTAGGGGAAACCGGAGCATCCGGAGAAAACCAACATGAACAAGGGGAGAACATGCAAACTTCACACAGAAATGTCAACTAACCCAGCTGGGACTCGAACCAGTGACCTTCTTGCTGTCAGATGACAGTGCTAACCTCTGAGCCACCATGTTGCCTACCTTTACACATTCAACATACAAATATACTTTGCACAGATTTTAATTCTAATTTCAGTAAATAAACAACTTTAATGTGTTTGTGCCTTTATGATAAGTGTTTCACATGTTAATGTTTACTTTCACCATCTTATTTAGGGAAACTCCAGAGATAAAAAAGTTATATCTCTGAACTTTAATAAAAAAAACTATATGCTGTGCTTCCCAGCCCCTTTATTCAGCCGCAATGACTTCTGGGACTTCTAGAGTGAGTTTTGAACACAAGTCTGGATCGATCCATCCTTATTATCAAGAATACATCTGCGTGTTCTCAGTGTTCTCTGTTCTTGTGGTCTTGAATTTTGGAACTGAACTTTTGACTTTACATACGTTACAGCGTATGATAATGATCTTACATGAGAAAACAAGAATGCTAAAGACTGCATATTGAAATGTAATTGGGTACATTGGCAGTGGGTGAATAATAGAGACCAAAAAAAAAACATTTGACATTTGACGCGGAATGCACATTTCCAAAGGAGAATAACTGACTTTAGTAATGTTCTTCAGATCAACAAGTATGTTCACTTAACAAGATTCTTAAATATCTAAACATTATGGTATGCGTATAATTTAGAAGAGTCACAACTTACATACATCAACTTTAAAGAAATATGAACTCACACAAACTGTAGACTTTACATTTTACTTCTGTAGGATTGACTTATAATGTATTACACCCTAATTTATTTCGTTGTCTCATTTTAATAGCCTGGAAGCTACAGATAACTTCTGAGGATTGTTGTAGTGGTTGGAGTCATGACTGCAGAAGACTGCTTAAACAGCAGCATTTCTTGGAGGAGGCAAAATGTTTAGCTTCCATATTACCTTTGTTTCACTATCTGAACCATTAATATTTTAATTAGTATTTTTTCATTGCATTCTGGCTGTTTTAGTGACCTGTAATGGAATTCTCCATACCCTGAGATCTTACTGTCTTCTTGTTAGTTATTCACTGTAAATTAAGATCTTGAAAGTGTTTCCTTGATTACCACTTGTGTTGGGTGCAGTATCATCCCCATCTGATTGATTTCATGTGTTAGGCTCATTAAATTCTGATTCTCCCTTGGTTTATGGGAGACCATGAAAAATGAAGAAAAAATGGCATTGTGTTGTTTGCTGATTGATGTGTTTTTATTGTAGATGCTGAGGAGGATGAATTATGTTTGACCTGGAGTGAAGGGGATCTAAGGTAGGATCTAAAAATTTTAATTTGCACATATGTAAACTTTACAGCAGGGGTGCTCAGTCTTGTTCCTGGAGATCTACCTTCATGCAGAGTTCAACTCCAACCCTGATCAAAAGCAGCTAAGCCAACAAAGTATGGTCTGAAGAAGCACTTGGTAATAAAAGACAGGTGCAATTGATAAAAGATACAGCTGAACTTTGCTGGAAAGTAGAACTTGGGATTGGGCATTCTTGCCATATAGCATATGTGCCAATAAAAATGTTTTGGACTTCAGATGAAAACTGTAAATAAAAACTGCTGGTAACACTTTATTTTGATGGTACATGTGAGTATTAGTAGACTGACTGCTTAATATCTGTTGATACTGCTGCTAAACAGACATTTAACTGACTATAAGAAACTTTGCAAGTACCACAACCCTAACCCCAATGTTGCATGAAGATGCAATGTAACATACATTTAACAAAAGGACCATCAAAATAAAGTGTGACCAAAAAGCTTTTATTACATTTTTCTTTATTTGCAGTCTATCACAAAAATAATCTTTTCATCGATAGTCTTACAAATAAAGTATACCAGTTGCCGTATGCATTCTCTTTTCTTTCAGGAAACTTGGGAGGACAAAAAAGAGGAGTTCTAAATACTTTAGTAGGTGTTTGTGTTTTTTCATATACATGGCAAACCCTGTCTATTACAGACTATAAATTATTAGTTAAATTTTCTGCTTCTAAAATTCATTAAACTACAAATATACACACAATTTATACAACTATTTCCCATCGGTACATACCAAAGACTAGATAGTTAATAGTAACTAGTGCACAAAATCCACAAATACATAGTTCTAAATACATGGGTGGTAACAGAGAAGAAAAGTTTTGGCATTCCTAGCTGTGCTGCTTGCTAGTCCTCCAGGCTAAGAACAGGTTTGTGCTTGCAAATCACTCACATCTGCAGATAAACAGCTTCAAATGCTGGCTTAGACCTGCTACACCTATTTGATCTTAAAACATTTTACACATTAACACACTATTTTACTATGTCAGTGTTTCTCCTTCAATATTTCAGTTTCTCTGTAATTATTAACCTGAAATTTGATAGCATTTCCTGAGTAAGAATATGTATTGGCATATGTATTTAATGGCCTGGGTCTGTACTTCTGATGATGGTCATGAACAGAAGATTAAAACTTTGAATATTAGAATGCATATTTAGGTCAAATGAATTAGATAGACTTAGTAAGGTTTTAATTGGAGAAGTTGTTTGGTAACAGCTAGCCAAATTGGGCAGATTAAATATGGTATCAAATTTAACAAAGTATGATATATCATATATGAGAATAATCATGGCTGACTGAAATAATTTTAATAAATGCCATTACTTAAAGTCAAAGGATTTTGTTTACTTTTATGTGATAAAGACTTTTGGTACCTTAAACATCTGGATCTTTCCTTTGCAGACTCTCAACTGTATCAGGAGTACAGTGAGGTCGTCCAGAACAGAGAAATTCTGCTGACTAATTATGATACTACATCGCTAAGTGGAGATAATATCACCATCCGTTCATCTTCCCCTCTGAATCATTCGCCAAAGCTATCTCACAGACCTCTCCCAGCGCTTCCTCAAGTCCACCTGCATCCCCACTCACTGTCCTTGAATAATTCCCTAAAAAGTCTTAATTTACCTCAGCAATCTATGAACAGACCCCCTTCTCCTCGCCTGTCTATCTCCGCTTCCTCACCCACACTGTGGCAGGATCTCCCTGGAGTCAGGAACAGCCCAGAAATTGTGGAACTTACTGAAGATGAGAGACGCCTGCAGGAGGTATAGATGTGTTCGTTATTACCTAAACATTGTGTAAAACACAATTGCTGAAAAAAGTATTTGTGCATTCAAAGTAGTATATATAGATGATAATCTTTATAACTTATATAAATAAAAAAACAGCAATTTTAATATTTCATAAAGCATTCTGTTCTGGGTTATTCTCATATATACCCCTTAAATGCCATCTAAAATTTTCTTCTAAAATTAGCATTTTTTTCAGGCTCCTATGTCTTGATTCAGTTATTTCACTTTAATGGCAAGTAATAGGTTATTTTCATCACTTTCAACATGAAATAACTGAACATAAACATAAGAGGCTAAGAAAAATTCTTACTGTAGAAGAAAATTTCCAGATGGCACTTAAATCTTTTTGCATCTGAACTCTTCACACAGTTTATAAATAGTTGAAGGCAGAATTATTAGCCCCCCTGTTTATTTTTCCTCAAATTTCTGTTTAATATAGGGAAGATTTTTTTCAACACATTTCTAAACATAATTGTTTTAATAACTCATTCCTAATAACTGATTTATTTTTCTTTGCCATGATGACAGAAAAGGGTTTTTTTCTAAATATTTTTCAAGACACTTCTATGCAGCTTAATGTTACATTTAAAGGCTTAATTAGGTTAATTAAGTTAACTGGGCAGGTTAAGGTATTTAGGCAAATCCTTTCATTACAGTGGTTTGTTCTGTAGACTATTGGAAAAATATAGCTTAAAGGGGCTAATAATTTTCAACTTAAGATGTTTTGTTTTTTATTAAAAGCTGCTTTTATTTTTGCCAAAATAAAACAAATAAGACTTTCTCCAAAAGAAAAAATATTATCAGACATACTGTGAAGATTTCCTGTTAAACATTATTTGGGAAATATTTTAAAAAGAAAAAAAATCAAAGGGGGCTAATTATTCTGACTTCAACTGTATTTATAGTTAAAGCAAGTTAGGGTAATTACCCAGGTCATTGGAAAACAATGTTTTTTTTTACCAATCCAAAATAAAAATAAAAAATAATAATAAACATCCTTAAAAAGGCTATTAATATTGACCTTTAAAAATTGTTTAAAACGATTAAAATACATTTATTCTAGCCAAATTAAAACATTTTTTTTTTCAGAAGGGAAAATTAGTCTAAGACATAAAAAAAGATTGAACGGAGGGCTAACTTGTATCAGGCCCATTTTTTAATTTGTATTTGTACAGTCTCATTCGTACATTTTAGTATGATTTGCTACAGTGATGGGGTGGGGTTTGGTGTCATGCCTCCTGTAAAAAAATACATAAAAAAATAAGACAATGATAATGTATGAATTTGTACAAATTAGCCACTAAACTGACAAAATGTTAAATAGTTATGATAAAGGGTTAAACAAAACATTTTACAACACTGTAAATCTGAGATGTAGATGAAAAATACAAATTACATAAGTCACAATTAAGAGAAACTCATAGTTCCAATATTTAAAGTAAATATTTAAGATTTTAGCTAACTACTGTAAGAAGTAATATAAAACTGTCACAGATAAAACTAAAATTAACATATACAAATTTTTCATAAATATTGTGGTTCATGATTATCATATCTAATTTTGAGATATAACGGAACGTTCTCATTTATAATTGCTATTTATATAAAAATTTTGAAACTTACATTTGAAAATAAAATGTTTGTGATGATACAGTGTAAAAATAATAGTGATTAGCAGTTTGTAACCTATGATATATGGGTGTATTTCATTTATCTCAAAATTGCCTTATGGAAACTTGATTTTTAACAATTTGACATTTTCAGTAGTTTGAAATGAATTAGTGTATGGATTCATCATGAATGTTTTGGTACAAAAACAGTTAATAATGAGCTGTCGTTACATGTATTCCTATATATTTCTAAATTATGTTTCAAACTATCAACAATTTCAATAAATGTCACTGTTAATTTCCAGAGTTAATTTTTTAACATCAAAAGTGGTCTGAGCAGAGATCAAGGTTGCATAATTAAAAAAAAAAACTAATAAATAAATAAAAAAATCTGTTATTTTACATAAAATAACGCCCATTAAATTACAGACATTTACTGTAAAATAAAAATTTCTTAAATTTATATTTTCAGTAAATTTCTGTAATTTACTGTCTGTTATTTTACGGCAAATGTCTGCCATTTAACGGCCATTATTTGACGCAAAAAATTTAGAGTGTAAATATAATGCCACAATTAGGTATATGTATTGAATTTTACTCAATGACAATCAGATTTTCATTGGAATTTGTGTCTTTTTTGATGGAGTGATTTGTGTTCAAATTAATGTATTGAGGATATTCATTTTAGTAGTAAGAACAGCATCATGAAGAATCTCTGTCTTTTTAAGGTGAGGTTTGAGGTTGTGACATCTGAGGCATCATACTGTCGTAGTTTGGACATCGTAGTGGAGAACTTTGTCCTGTCTAAACAGCTCAATGCTATCCTGTCATCACAAGACAAAAATTGGCTGTTCTCTAGGCTAAATGATGTTAGAGCCATCAGTCACAGGTTAGACACATCTCATTTATTTTAAAAGAGTTACTTTTTATGACTTAATATTTAAAGATGTTCTCTTCTTAGTGTGTGCCACCAAGCAATTTTGTGTTTAATAGACTTGTAATCGACATCTAAACATAGACGTTTAGTCTAAACAATGCTAAATTTGGGCTGTTAGCAAACATCTTCTACCATCTAACAATGGTCCAAAAATATTCATCAAATAGATAGACTTCACATGTGTACTCATTCTGACTATTTGATGACTAGTCTATTTTGGCCATATCTGGCCTTGTTTTAGCCAAGACATCTGTTTAGATGTCTATTAGATATCTATTAATTACAAAATATGCTTGTTGGGAACATGATTCTATAAAGATGTGAGAATTCTTACATCACCTCATGTTGTGTTTCTGTTTAACTTTGACAGTATTCGGAAGCCATTTCTAAAATGTCAGCTCTAAAATCCTAATCCGATAAATGATAAAATATTTTACATTCTTCTTTTATTCTAGTTTTATGTCTCACCTTGAAGAAAACGTGGAAAGAGATATGTTGCACTTTACAGTCTGTGACATCATTATTAAATACTGTCCCCGATTCCGAAATGTGTATGTGCCATATCTTACCAACCAATCATATCAGGACAAGACGTATCAAAGATTAATGTGAGTATGTTTTTGAAAGATTCAGTAGCTGAAAATGTGTTTCTCTGTTTAATTTTCTGCCCATTTTATTTTATTCTTCAATGTCTTTTAGGGATGAGAGTCAGGAATTTCGCAGAGTTGTGGAAAAGTTAGAGCGTAATCCAGTGTGCCAGCGGTTGCCTTTACGGTCATTTCTCATTCTTCCGTTCCAACGAATTACACGCCTCAAACTATTAGTGCAGGTACTGTCCTCCTCTGTTCTGTTAAAATCTGCCACACACATTTTTTTTAATGACACATTCTTATGACACATGGATGGTTTTGGAACTGGAAGTATTTTACATCTCCAAGATAAGCCGCCAATTATTTTTTAAAAATGTGATGGTTTTGAATATTACCACAAATTAAACTTTAAAAAATGTTTGTTTGTATGTTTACTAAGGCAGTGTTTCTCAACCTCGTTCCTGGAGGCCCACCATGTTTTGGATGTGCTTTTTAGTCACACCTATTACAGGTCTTTTAGGGCGCACTTCCACTATACAGTTGCCTTGTACCAGGCCAGAGCACACTTGTCACCCCTCACATTTCCCCCGACGACCCACACTCACATTGCATTCAGGCCTGAACACACTTACGTCATTGATGATGTGCTGTTCAGAAACGCTCTTACTCAGCAAAGCGGAGATTTCTTTATATCATCATATCATTTTAGTCGTTTAGGATGCAGTGACACACAGTCCAAACTTTCGACGACAGATCCCCCACTTTTGACGCTCTTAAACAATCATAAAGTTCTTGTGCTGCAGGAATATAGAGGTTTGCTAAAGGTGCAGCTGTGATGCAGTGAGGGGTTTGCGTCTTTTATAATCTACGACAACTCGAGTTCATTAAACAGTAAGAATAATTTAAAAATTCATATCAAACAGTCCCTTAAAAGCCATGTCTCGTCTTCAGTTTCGGGCTTCAGTTTTGGTGGTCCTCCAAGATCGCGATTGAGAAACACTGTATTAAGGGATTTAACTTATTAAATCCTATTGTACCTATTTTTCACTGCTTTTGCCTTCAGCTTTAATTATCACTTAATTATTTTGTCTAATTTTACTAAGCTAACAAAATATATTTTATGTCTGGAGAAGCTCTGGAAGGCATTGAGGCATGTAATTTGTTGTTCTCTCATTAGTTTGTAAAAAAAAGGTTTTGGATACATCAATTGCACATTAGTTGGTCAACTTTTGTGATATTTGTTTAAATGACATAATTTTTTAGCAACACAGTAATGTAATAACATTTTAAAATACAGTAAAAACTGTACATGCCCTGTGATATCTGGTTTGGTTTTAGTATCTTAAGCTAAAGTACAAAACAGTGATAAATGTCAACTTGGTAACGTATTATTAAGTGTTTTAAAATATTTAACAATAATTTAAACAATAATTTAAACAATTATTAACAGAATTAAAATTCTCTGTTACATGTAAGCAGTTTCTATTATTTTCCATTGCTAATTTATTTCGTTTACTGTACTTTATACATTTATTGTATCATTACAGTTTAGGGAAACTTAATGGAAATTACTTGAAATAGAGCCAAAATTCTGGAGTCTCATGGTCACTCCTCTAAAAAGATCCTTGGTCTCATATCTTTGCAGTATTCTCACTCACTCGGGCCCCCTCGCTTTGTTCTTTGCTTTATCAGGCATCGGCACAGCTAACAAACCATCAATTTCTCAATTGTTTTACACAGAGCATGCCCTTCCAACCACAACCCATCACTAGAGTACAACCCCCAGTGCTGGAAAACCTAGGCAGTATTGTTGGCAATATTATATAAATATGGCATTCATCCATCTTCCTTTACATAGAATGCAATGTGATTAATTTTCATTTAAAGTTTTTCTCAGTGGCTTTGGTGCATTTCTCACAACACTATTTACATTTGCACACAAAACAATTAGTAAAAACTGCAAAATCTAGTTGATAACCTGCAAAAGCGTGTCACTTGCTCGAAATGGATAGCTCATTCCTCAAAAGCAAGTCATCATGTCAATGAAAGTGTTAGTGTCATCAAGATGAAAAATCCTGAAACCCTTTTATATGAACAAGATAGTCAAATGGCTTTCTCATGTTTTCATTATGACAGTTTGCTCTGTACAATTTGTTCTAATACAAAAAAAGTCAGATTTTGGTGACACTTCCTGAAAATGCTCAAGACAGCACTATATACTTTTTGCACAGCCATTTGAAAACTATAGTAAAGTTAGGCATCACTGCATTTCTCTAATGTATTCACAGCATTGTGCAAAAGAATGAATACACTTTTATTTACAACAAACATAAAATTCCTTTGGATGGAGCCGTGCACAACTGTAAACATTGCATTACATATTGGAACTGAACCTACAACGTACACAGGTCTGTAAATTATTCATGAAATTGTTCATTTTAGAGGATATTTTGAGATAAAAATGTTTCTAAAATTTTGACAACCAGTTTAACATTTTTTATGTGATGACTTAAGTAATGAAATGAGCATTCACAAGTTTAGTTCATTTTGACTGACATGACATAAGCAAATAATAATGTTATAAAACAGCAGAGAGTTGTATGAAAGCAGTTGATGTATGTCCAAAAGCATTTGCAATTAGTTGAAAGGAATGAGAAACTCCTACTATGATGTGCACAAATGAAGAATTGTTTTGAGAAATGCATTAACTGTTGTGCAAATTAGTGTAGTGAAAAATGCATCAAAGCCATGGAGAAAAAACTGTAATTTACATTTTACACTATTTTTTTCTCTTTTTGTATAGAATATTGTAAAGAGAACTGCTCCAAAAACCAAAGATGAAGTGCAGGCCATTAAGGCCATGAAACTACTTGAGAAGGTGAGACTTCTATTGATGTTCTTGGAACAATGTAGTTGTCACTTACATAGCTTTACAATTTCTCATTAGTTTCTTAGTCTCTTTCTAACTTCTGACCTTGCATCTTTACAGATGATCCTGGATAGTAATGAAAGTATTTCTCAAATGAAAAACATTGAGTCACTTGTGACTCTTAATGCCAAAGTTGACTTTGAGTGCAGGGTAAGAATGACACAAGTTTGGAAACCTAATGTTTACTCTCTGCTCTCTGAATCATTCCATTTAGACATTTAGCATTTTAGAGTTATAATAACTGTATTTTGGTTATGTCTCCTAGACTCTTCCATTGATAAGTCAGTCCCGCAGATTAGTACGAGAAGGGCCTGTGACTGAACTGAGAGACTTTTCCTTGAAAGACAGAGAAGAAGAGAGAAGTGTTTATATGCACCTTTTTAATGACTACCTCTTGCTCTCTATACGGAAAGAGTATGTTTGACCTTTCTTAACATCTATAATTCACTTCATTAAATATCTTTAATAAATCGTCACCTTAGAATTATAAGGTTCTATCTGCGTTCTGGTTGATTTTGAGATTTTTAGCTCAAAGGTTTTTGCATTCCATGTAGCATATAGTAGGTGTGTAACATTTGTTTTTTAAATAAAAAGTCTAAAATGTAAACAACTTATTTTAAAAAATCCCATAATGTAAATAAGTTGTCATTTAATAAGAATATGTCAATAACTCAGTTTTGACAAAAATGTGAGAAAATACCTTATAATTCTAAGGTGACGAAATGAAACCAGGATTTTAACTACAGTTTAAGCCCTACTCTGTAAAAAAAAAAATAATAATAATCTGTAATTTTACGGTTTATTTCCAGCAGCTGGGGTACTGGGAAAAAAATGTAAAATAACAGCAGTTGAATTACAGAAGTTTACCAGAAATGTAAATTAAAGGAAATTTCTGTAACTAAATGTCTGTTATTTTACGATGAATGTCTATAATTTAACGACTGTTGTTTTACGTTTTTTCTCGGTACCCCAGCTGCTGAAAATAAAATTACAGATTTTTTTTTACAATTTAAACTAAATTGCATATTTGAGTTATCATACATCATTGATTTGTTACTAGATGCACACCATCCTCTTATTTGAATATAAGTCATTCCATGTGTTTTAAAGTTTTACGTCACATTGAAATCTTAACTTCCTGCTTGCAGAGGGGGTAGGTTTACAGTTATCGACCATGCTCCTGTATCAGAGCTGCGGGCCGAGAACTGCAGGTTCAAACTACATTCCTTACAGAAAAACCTGTTCCGTCTGCACATGCCACAAAAAGCCTTGCTTTTGCGAACAGATACCCAGTAAGTATGCCATTGTGCTTGCTTGTTTATGAAAAAAAAGTAGTTGTACTTGTATTCATGTAAACATACCAGTAGGTGTGATGTGGCAAGGCTACACAGCATTTTGATTTAGTGGCTTATTTGTATAATTTAGTACGATTTAGGTGGGGTTGTGTGCTTCGCCTTTTAAAAATTGTACTAATTCAAACAAATTAGCCACTAAACTGACAGAATGTAAAATAGTTACAATTCCTCGTGAGATCATGCTGGATTTGCACATGCTAATTCAGCTCATAGCAAATAAAGATATTTGCACTTGACCATTTATTTACCTTTATGCTGTATTTCCTGTATTTCAAGTGTTCGAGTGGAGGCAAAGACTGCATGTGTTCTGTTAAACACACTCATCTCCATTAAAAAAACATCTGCTGAATAAATTTTACTCAAACAATATGTGATATCTAATTAAATTTAATTAAACTAACCTCTACCACCAAAGAGTATTGAAGGAGAACTTCAACAGTGTCCCCCAAATGACTATAATGCAGACATCTATTTTATTAATTTTAATCGGCTATTTTGTTGCTCATTTTTTTTTTTCAGTTTGAAAACATTACTTGTCATGTTTACACCTAAAATAAAATAGATTCGGGCATAAGTATGCTTATTTTCTTTTAAGATTCTTTCAGTGATCAGCATTTATCTGAAATAAAAACTTATGTAACCTTGAAACTGATGCTATTTAAATGTTTGGAGTCAGTATAATTTTTTTTTTCAAGTGCAGAAATGATAGAATTTAATACTTTTATTTAGCCATAACGTTAGATTAGACTCTTTTAAATAAATTATGTTCCGGCGACACGGTGGCGCGGTAGGTAGCGCTGCCGCCTCACAGCAAGAAGGTCACTGGTTTGAGCCTCGGCTTTTTTGGTTGGCATTTTTGTGTGGTGTTTGCATGTTCTCCTCATGTTTGTGTGGGTTTCCTCCGAGTGCTCTGGCTTCCTCCACAGTACAAAGACACAGTGAATTGGGTTGGCTAAATTAGCCGTAGTGTATGAGTGTGAATGAATATTTCCCAGAGATGGGTTGCAGCTTGAGGGGCATCTGCTGCGTAGAACATATGCTGAATAAGTTGGCGGTTCATTCCGCTGCGGAGACCCCAGATTAATAAAGGGACTAAGCTAAAAAGAAAATGAATGAATAAATTGTTCCTCTAAACTTTCTATTCACCAAAAAAAGCTGAAACATTTGTACTAAGCTGTCAACATACTAATAATGATAAAGATAATAATTATAATAATAATATTCATAATTTTTTTGAATTTTTAAACAAGAAATCGATATATTAAAATGATTTTTGAAAAACTGTGTAAGAATGATGTAAAAAATCATCCTTAAAATCATGTGACTAAATTGTATTTGCACATATTTCAATAGAAAAACGGTTATTTAAAGTGGTCAAAATAGTTTAATATTTTACCAGTTTGTTGTAAACCAAATTAGGCTTAGAAAGCAGAGGTGAATTAACAAAACATTGGAGGAGACCTATTATGCAAACAACACTTTTGCGAGGGGTTTAAACACAGTTGTGTGGCAACAGTCTGCAAATAACAATGCAGTCAAAATGTATTCATTTTATTTTTCATAAAAACAGTCTGTAGAAACTGTATACCTTTGTACATAACGTAATATCAAAGGGAGAAAGTCCCAAGTCCCTTGCATCTGTCCCTCACTGGTATTGGACATTAGTCTTGTTTTGAATTTGCCCCTATGCTGACTGGGAGCACAATGTTATTTGAATATAAAGCGACAGTTAGGCACCATTAGGATCAAAGCCTAGGGGCAGTTTCAGAGAGTTCTAAAACATTATTTATGGGGTAGTGTGAGATGAAACTTCAGAGACTTATTTTGTATCTTGTAAAAACGGGCATAATAGGTCCCCTTTAAAAACCTTTTAAAACGCAGGAAACTGCATCACAAGTGTAACTGGACACACTTGCTGTAGAGTTTTACCTTTACAAGCCTTTTCTAAAACATTGAATTTTTTATTTAGATCAGAAAATGATACTATATTCATCTAGTATTTTGCAATCTGATTATACAGAATGATGTGATATACTAATCCTTGTATTAACTTTCCTCAGAGCTGATAATCTGCGCTGGATATCAGCGCTCTCACGTCCTTATCCTGAGATTGACTTCGGTGCAGTTCAGGGTATGCTCTACCTAAAATTGCAATATCAAAGCAGATATTCTAATATTAATAATGTTTCTTTTTTACATTTTCAGAAACTCCACAAATGCAGTGCATCAGAGCATATGTTGCCCAGCAACCAGATGAACTCAGTTTAGAGAAAGCTGATGTCCTTGTAGTTCACCAGCAAAGTAGTGATGGTGAGTTAGAACACTAAACACATTAACGAAAAATACCCCTATATATTTATCACTATATCTGACACCCCTTCCGTTTCAGTTGACACAACACACCACTACATGCACAACAGCAATGTAGAACGGTAGCGCTTTTTTAGATTACCGTGTTGTTGTTGTTTGCTTCATTATTTTTTATTTTTGCCATCTTTGGTAGATTGGTCCCTCTGTAAATGAACAGGCTGCATCTGTGTTCTTTAATCCTTGCACTGTCTGTAGATTGCAAGAAAGAATTTTCCACTCTCACTGCTGTTTTTGTGGGCTTGTGACTTCATCAATAGTGATTATTTAGTAATGACCTCTTCAGTGGTTTGAAACAACAAACTCATAGTTATAAGCTCAGGGCCCATATTCACAAAAAAAAAAAATAAATAATTATCTAGCTATTAAATAGAAGCAAACGTTTTTAATTTAGAGAATTGTCTAAAAGTTGTTCACAAAGCTTCTAAGATTAATCTTTACTAAGTATATGTGAAGTCTTAAGCTAAGAGTGAGGGTTGGGTTGACTACTGGTGCATTGCCACTGAGGGATACAGTTCAGTACACTCTTAGAAATGAAGATATGCAAGCTATCACTGGGGTGGTACCTTTTTCCAAAGGTACAAATTTGTACTTTAAAGATCCATATTAATACCTCAAGGGTACATATTAGTACCTAAAATGTACAAAAGTGTTCCTCTTATTTTTTTAGGTACTAATGTATAATTTTAAGGTACCAATATGGACTCTTTAAGTACAAATGTGTACCTTAAAAAAAGGTACCCCATTGACAGCTCGCGTACCTTTATTTCTGAGAGCGTACGGTACGGTATACTCTCAGAAATAAAGGTACGAGAGCTGTTAGGGGTGGTACCTTTTCAAAAGGTACTTGCCTGTAATTAAAGGGTCTATATTGGTACCTCAGAAGTATATATTAGTACCTAAAATATTTAAGAGGAACACTTTTGTACTTTTTAGGTACTAATATGTATCTCTGAGGTATTAATATAAACCTATTACGTACAAATGTGTACCTTTGGAAAAGGTACCATTCCAGGAATACTCTCGTACCTTTATTTCTGAGAGGGTACGGTAAGCTTTTTTGTGTGTTTCGACTGTGTTTTAATCACACAAAAAGGGTACATTTTGGCAGTGGAAACACAAGACTGGTGACCCCTACCAAACCGTTCAGTGGACAGGAGGCATATGCTGCTATTGATGATGTCAGCTTGATTAATAACTCGCAAAGTGATTGGCTAATGGGAAAGGGATGAGTCTCTGTCAGATATTTATTCATGGAAATTTTAGAAACATGGAGTGTGTATAATATGTTGCAAAATAATAATAATAAAAAATTCCCACATTGAACTTAAATATGCAGGCTAAGTCATACCTGCTCACATGCCTGCCTGGGAGTCTCCGTCAATCTCCCCCCACCCCCCAGTCTCAGAATTTTAGAGACAAATTTTAACAGGTATGGGCTAAGTAAAGAACTAAACTCTTTAAAAGTATGTTGCTTGAATTTAATGTCATAGCTGTTAACTAATGACTTTCATCCAATGTTACAATTTAATGTATTTTCCTATAAAATAATTAAGCAAATATATATTTTTTTATATTTCGTCACCTTAGAATTATAAGGTTCTATCTGACCTTTTTGTCAAAGTTGAGTTATTGACATATTCTTATTAGACATAACTGACTTATTTACAGACTTATTTACATTATGCAATGATTTTAAAAGTTCTTTTTATTTTAAGACTTTTATTTAAAAAACATACGTTAAACACATACTGTTTGCTATGCAATGGAAAAAAGTCGAAGCTTGACAAAATCATTCAGAATGCAGATAGAACCTTATAATTTCAAGATGACGATTAGTATATATTTTAAAAATACATAAAAATGGCCAAATTGGAAAATATATTTGATTACATATAATACATTTGAGAACACATTTCTTACCAAATAGGAACACCTCTGTGATTAAATTGATAACTTATTAAAAGCTCACTGTAATTAAATGTTTTCAAAAAGTTTTCTTTCTAAGGTAGAGACAGCCAACAGCCATTTTAATATTGTTGTCACTGTTATCACTACTTCTAACATTCCACAGATTTTGGAGATAATTTTATTCCTAATGTGCTTTGTGTATTACTCTTAGAACAAAAAATGGAGTTCTAAATTTAGGACAGATAAAAAGTTTGGGTGATTAAGGTTTTATACTCACAATGTTTTGAGAATACAGCCCCAGGGATTTTCATAATGGCACCTCATTAAACTCAACATATATAACCAAGTGTGTCTTGGAAATGTCCAGTTTATTACTCCATCTGCGCTGTCGATGCATTGTTAAAGTTCTAGGAAACTTTAAGTAGGTAGTATATGCTGATGTTGTACTGATAATTTCCAGTGTAAACCATCAGAAAGTTAAATTTAAAGTTTAAAGTTGTTAAATTTATTTTAAAGATAAAATAAATTTGTTGCTTGATCAAACTGAGCTGAAGCAACACAATTGTTGATTTATTTGAACAAATTATAATTCATGTTCTAAACACTTAAATATGTAAATAAATAAATAAATAAATACATAATAATAATAAACTTAACTAATTGTGTTGGTAAGGGCGAGGCAGTGGTGCAGTAGGTAGCGCTGTCGCCTCACAGCAAGAAGGTCGCTGGTTCAAACCTCGGCTCAGTTGGTGTTTTAGTGTGGAGTTTGCCCCACAGTCCAAAGACATGCGGTACAGGTGAATTGGGTTGGCTAAATTTTCCGTAGTGTTTGAGTGTGTGAATGTGTGTGTGGATGTTTCCCAGAGATGGGTTGCGGCTGGAAGGGCATCCGCTGTGTAAAAACTTGCTAGATAAGTTTGCGGTTCATTCCGCTGTGGTGACCCCGGATTAATAAAAGGACTAAGCCGACAAGAAAATGAATGAATGAATGAATGAATGAATAATTGTGTTGGTGTGTTGGTGGGTATGGAAGTGTAGTTCCCAGCATGCTTGATTGCATGAAAACAAGAACATTATGACAATAAATGTAATCCTAGTTCTTTTAAATCCTAGTTCTTTTAAACTAAAGTTAAAAGAAAGACTTGTACACCTATAACTCATTAAGAGAATAAGCTCAACCCTGTTAGACCATGCACAACGGCACAAAGCGGATTTTTCTGTTCTAAAATAGCAAAATTGGATTCGGACACACCTTTAATGCTTTAACACCCTGCACTTTGGACTTTGCGCCAAGATCTTTAAAAATAGAGCCTATATAGAGTTTCAAGTAAGGTTTTGAGTTTTGCTTAAATATTATTTTTACTTTTGGGTTCCATTTAACCTAAAATAAGTTAAAGGTGCCCTATAAAAAATGTGGGTAATATCCAAATAATAAGAGTTCAGTAGATGGAAATCGCAGTGAGTCTCAGTAGTGTAGTAAAACCCCAATGAAAAATAGCCCTATCAGAACACAATACAGATTAATGTGTGACTCAATATTTGCAAAAACTTTAGGTCACATTTTATATTATCCACACCAGAAAACTGTGGCGTTAACAGATGTTGCTCTGGATCATTGATATGCATGACGCAGGCTGTGTTTGATAAGCCACAACGTTTCCTATTATGACAACAATGGCCATTTTCCAGTTATTTTTAAGTTTATGTTAAACTTACTATTCTTGTCAGCCATCTGTTCATATCCTCATCAAGATGCAAAATATGGAATACAGATTTATCATTTATTCAGCTTCACCCTAATGCATAATGTATATTGTGTTAATTCATCCTGTTTATTGTAAAATTTAATTTGTGTTTAAACAAACAGATGTAGACTGTCAAGTATAAGTATGTACTTAGTTTAAAATGCGTGTTTAAAATTTGTGTCAGTCATAAAGCTCTTACTGTCCTTCTTCTGAAGAACAGACTGCAAGGGTCAAAGCAGATATGGTCAATACGAAGCCGAAGCTTTTGATTCTAGTTATGTTTTATGGAAAATAAAAGAGCTTATAAAGCCATTTCTGGAGATTTTTTTTACTTCCCTAGGCCACATAGCTACTATGTGTACTATTTCAGAGAATAATTTAACTTATTAAAGCAATGCAGTGTATAGCACCTTTGAATTGACACATTTCAAAAGAGTGCAAATGTGTGGCTTCATTAAATTTTGTGACACCAATGGTTACATTTTTTGACTTGCTGCCAATTGTTCATGTAATTCATGATTCAATAACCTTTTCATCTTATACTTTTATTTCTGATTTATTTTAATTATAATAAAAAAAAAACTCCAGATCAACATTCTGCAGATTTGTCTCCAATCAAGTAACGAATCACATTAATTAAAAGGGAATAAATGGATACCACTTTTCAATTTAAAAAGACATTTTAAAAGACCAAACATGACAAGTTAAAATGATAGATTCACAAGATACACCATATAAAGAGTACTGTGGAGTGTCATTAACCTATGCTGTGGTTGAGGAGGTGAAGGGGAGGTCAGCGAGGGCATCACATGACGAGGAACTGAGACAGTTTAAGATTTTCACCTTAAACTTTTAGCTTCATGATGAAATCAGGAGATCAAGAAATCTAAATTATCTTTAATCTTTGGTAGAAGCGAAACTCTGCTGGACTGTTGACAATCTTGAAATCAATCTTTTCACATTTTTTTTTTTTTAGGCTGGGTGGAAGGTACTCGTTTGTCAGACAGGCAGCGTGGCTGGGCTCCTGAGCTTCACCTGGAGACAATAACCAGTGACAAAGCAAGGAAGCGCAACCTGCTGGATACCATGAAAATTGCTACTGCTGCAATGTGAAGCAACAGGCTTCAATCAGGTCCAAGTTTATGTAAAATATCCCTTCAAGAGCTTTAAGAATTTATGTTTCAACTTCATAGGAAGTTTCTATTTATTTGTTTACCTACTGTTAAGGGTGATGTGGGTGATTTGGCATCACACATGTAAGGATATAGAGTACTCCAAAACTTGGAAATGGTCTGCAAGAATGTTGAATTATACTTTCACCAGAGGAAATAGATGCAGCTGAAGTCCATCTTAAGATTTCTTAAGTTATTAAGTAACCATATGGATATAGTAATGCTGAATGCACACCCGAGTTAGAACTACTTGTTCTCTGTTATTAATAAACATGAAATCCCCAAGTGCAATATAAATTCTGTTGGATTGCAGCCTAATGAAAATAATAGTTAAAAAAAAGTCTTATTATCCAACAGAGCACAAGTTTAAGAAGCACAAGTACATATAGACTGTTAAAAAAACTGTTGACTTCAATAAACTGCAAATATTATGCAGGATTATGTATTATGATGTTTCTGTTAAACTGCAAAAGCAGATAAAACACCCAATGTCACCAGCAATGTACATACTATAGGAGTTTAATTTGTTTAATGCTTTCATTGAATCAACTTTCTGTTCAAACTGAAATCAAATGCTTTACTGTAATATAAAGAATCATTTAACATTTCTGAAATGTTTCTACAAATATGACAGAAAAAGATTATCAACTTTTTGTCTACATGTAAATAAAAATAAATGAAAATGAAAAATGGTTTGCGATCAACTGAACTGCTTGAATTATTCACAAATTCACAAGAGGTGTTTTCATGTGTTTTTGTCAAAGCCAGTTCTAGTAAATCTCAAACATATGCTTTCAGATGAAGAAACATTACACAGACTCGTAGTTCACTTATAAAATATGAAAAATCATTCAAAACGACTTAAGACAATGATGAGATAATTTTTGTCATAATGGCAGTTCTGAGTATGCATGTATGTATGTATGTATGCAAGTATTACTAACAGTTGCTACAGTTTAGTAAAAGATAGTAGTTTAAAATCAGATAAGCATTTAAGATAATCAGTTTATTATTTATTCATTCATTTTCTTTTCGGCTTAGTCCCTTAATTATCCGGGGTCGGAATAACTATAATAATTAATTTTAGTGTAACACACTATTGTTTGCTTTTATTTGCAACAAAGCGATTTTAACCAAGTATGATAATATTAAGATCCTGAATTAGTTTACTTAATCCTACAATTAGTCTGTTATGTTTTCTTTCTGAATGTGGACACGTGAATAAAGTCATAAGTGTTTAACAATTATTTTCATTCACATAAATTGAGTATAGAAACTGCAGAGATGTTAAAATAATCATTACGATATAATAACATTATAATAATTGAAATGGGAAAACCATATTTGTGAAATTCTATAGGTGGCGATAATGCTCCCAAGGAGTTAGTTAGTAACCATATATGGTTTGCCTAAATCGTGTGTGCTAGATTATATGTGCCTAAAACGTGTGTGGCTCTGCAGGTCTGCAGCTGGATAGATCTCAAACAATCAACTAGCGGCAGAGGTCCCAAATGATGTGAATAATCCATCATTAACCATATATGGTTCACCTATGCCTCAATTGTGTTAGAGATTGTGTGCCCTGAAACGTGTGTGGGTCTGCAGCTGTATATTATTGGCACCTGCGGGTGACAGTAATCCGTTTTCTCGTTGAACAAAAGGAAACCGAACTTCTGACAAGAATGTGCAGAGTAAACAAAGCAGCGTTTAGTACCGTAATCAGTTATTGTCACTCACCTTGAAGGGATTTGCTCATGCAAAGATATCCACTAATTTGATAATCCATATCATTTGAAAAAATTTAAAGTAAGCAGCGGAACTACAGCTGGCACCTTTGTGCCCCTTTTTGACTTGAATTGTTTACATGATACATAACTTTTAATTCAAGTTTTTGTTCTCACACTCTGGTTTATTGCTGAATAACCAATCAGAGTGCTCTCTTCAGCCAATGCCCTTTGCCAATTCTACATGCCGAAGAGGTTTTGTGCTTCAAGTTCTGCGCAACAGTGCCCTCTAGTATTCATCTTAAATTTCATACTATCATGACAAGATGTGCATCACAATAGCAGTTTTACTCAGTCGCGCTTGTGATTTTATTTCAATTAAGTAATTTACAACCATAGGGGTGTACTCACACAAGGCACAGTTGTCTTGAACCTACCCCCAATGGCCCGCTCTCACACTGCATTTTTACCTTTCGAGCCCAAATATGCTTGCATCACCAAAGGGAGAGCTTCGTTTTAAAAAGGAAAAGAAGCACAATCAATGAAAAGAGACTGCATTGGTTATATTGATTTGTGAGTCACAGTGGCACAGTGCGTAGCATGATCACCTTCACCTCACAGCAAGAAGGTTGCTGGTTCAAGCCCTGGGTGGGTTAGTTGGCATTTCTGTGTGGAGATTGCATGTTCTCCCCATGTTGGCATGGGTTTCCTCCGGGTGCTCCGGTTTCCCCCACAGTCCAAAAACATGCAGTACAGGTGAATTGAATAAGCTAAATTGGCCGTACTGTAAGTGTGTGAATGCAAGAGTGTATGGGTGTTTTCCAGTGTTGGGTTGCAGCTGCAAGGACATCTTTTTTTGCTGCGTAAAACATATGCTGTTTAAGTTGGTGGTTCATTCCACTGTGGCCACCCCTGATTAATAAAGGGACTTAGCCGAAAAGAAAAGAAATGAATGAATATTTTTAATGTTGTTTGGGGGGCAAGGACACATGGCTGAACATTTTGTTGAACCTATCCACTACATTTGATGCTCATTGCTGCACATATTTGGAGGTTTGTTGAAGGTGGCAGCTGAAGTGCAGCGAGTGGTTTACATTAGATCAAATAATCTGATATTAGAATATTTTATTTTTCTGCAATATAAATTGCAAAACGCACCTGGAAGGACATCTGCTGCGTAAAACATATGCTGGATAAGTTAATCTTGTTTCCACTTTGAAATTTAGATTTTTGGACTAGAAACAAGATAAAAATTCTCAAATATAATTCTGACTCAGCACTGCATATACAGTACTGTGATGTGACTACTGCGAATGTGCAGATTCCTTTGATGAACACTAAAAACAATGAACACTGAAAACAGTGATAAGTTCTAAAAAGTAAATCCATATTGAACAGTCCCTAATAGCGACTACATATATTCAGTTATGTGCTGTTATGGTTTTGCACTCACATTACAAGTGCATCATGACTAAGCCCCACCTCTTCTAAACGTGCCAGAGAGGAACAGTTGAACAGTGCCTGCACATGTTATGGAGAACTAACACTAGTCAAACAAACAGAGATATGGGGTCAAACACACTTGAGAACAGACAGCCTAATGTGATACCCTAAGGCCCAATCCCAATTCTATTTTTGTACCCCTTCCTCTTGGCACTTGAAACAGAGTGTATAGGGGAAAATTTACACCACTACAGCACCTGCACACGTTGTCATATGTCATCATCAATCTCATCATATAAAGCAAAAGATTGTGATGGTGACTGCTGTAGTTATTCTAGTTGTTATTTTTTGGGGTTTATCTTCAGGTAATCCCTAAAGGCATATATCATGTTATCATAACCATATAATGTGGCAATAAGATCGTAACTATACTGTGCATTTACACCGTGGCCATATTAATCTATGTGAACACACAAAAAAACAACATTAACATTATAGCAGACATTGTAAAAAGGTAATTCCCAGCCACTAGACTTGTCTGACAGGGTATTCCAGTGTCATCGAGTGTCAGTATGTTGTGGGACTGCTGTACAGAAGTTATGATTATGGATTATAAATCGCAAAATTTTGCGGTTTTTATTTTAGCATTTTTAAAATAAAATATGCAGATAAAACACAAACGCGGTTATGAATCTATTAAAGAATATGTTAGTTTGTTGTAAAAGTTAGTAATAATCACAAAAAAATAAAAATTTGTGCATCTCCTTAGGCCCAATCCCAATTCTACCCCTTAGCCCTTCCCCTTCACGTGAAGGGGTGTCCCAATTCTCTAGATCTTGAAGGTGTCGGGGCTAAGAGCATAGAGAGCTCTCAAAAGAGACTTTTCAGGACCACACTTGAAACCAAGGGGGTAAGAAAATTTCCCAGAATCCACCAGCTACAACGGCTGGATAGCTGCACCTGGATGTCAGGAGATGCACAAATTAGTATCTTTTGTCATTATTAAAAAAATTAATGACAAACAAACACATGCTTTAATAAATTCATAAACATGTTTGTGATTTACAGACATGCTTAAAAAAAAAAAAAATAAATAAATAATAACTCTTGTACAGCAGTCCCACAACATTCTGTCACTCTATTGCCACATTATATTATATTCATAACATAATAAATGTTGCCTTCAGTGATTTGCTGAAGATAAATACCAAAAAGTAACAGAACTGGAATCACTACAGCAGTCTCCTTTGTCGATCTCAAATGAAGCAAGAGCTCACGATGACGTGTGCTGGTGCTATTGTGGTGTCCATTCCTTAAGGGTAAATTTTGAAGCTCTTCCCCTTCACACTCTGTTTGAAGGGCCAAGGGGAAGGGGTAGGGGGTCCAAAAATAGGATTGGAATTAAGCCTTACTTTCAGGTGCAGCGATTCTGCAGTTGTGGCTTGTGTATTCTGGGAAATTTTCTTACCCCTTAGTTTTCAGTGTAGTCCTGAAAAATCTCCGCTCAAAAGGATATCTACCCCTTCTCCTTAGCCCTACGCCTTTAAGCTAAAGAGAATTGGGACACCCCTACACCTTTATGTGAATGCGCAAAAAAAAGTGTTAGTTGATATTAACAAATACAAGTACTATCTGATAAGCAAGAGAAAATCTTTTAAGCAAAAAGAAACTTGCTGTTTTTTATTAGCCATAAGGTTTCAATAAGTGCTTAAAAGAACAAAGAATAGTCTAATCTCAAGCATACTAACAAACACCCAGCATACATCCAGACAAAGAATGGTCAATTCAACAAACACACAATCTTAAGTATACACACACTTAGAACATCAGCAACATGTAGGTTGAAGAACATGTCTGCATTTACTCATTCCCACACACAACATTATCATCTGCACTACAGAATGCAATACTAGACTAGACCAGTACTGTTTTGAAATGTATTGTCACTGATTAACTATATATATATAAACTTAGAACATGCTGAACAGTCAGTGTTGTCTAATAGGAGACAGGCCATGATTAAAGGAGCTACATGCATGAACACTCCACAAACCAGTAGAATTCCATTTTGAACATACAGATGCTGCTCATGTACAGTAACACAGTGCTAAAACGGAGGGAGTGTGCCATAGGTCTATGTTTGTACTACTTTCTGAGAAAACTCATCCAAAGAATTTCAGTCTGTTGTGTAAGTTCTGTGAGATAAAATAAAACCACGTTACACACTTGGAACCACAGAGTGGATCTAATGACCCAACATAACTTCTGATCAACACTCATTACTATAGAATGAATTATCAAGGGCTGATATTGTAATTGGGATTTCGAATTGATACATAACTCAAATGTAAAGTCCTGGCCGAAGACAAAAATTATCAGAAGAAATAGTCTTAACTTCATAATATTAAATGATGAAACAATGGGATTCTACAACCAAGCTCTCTTGCAAAAATAGCATACCTGAAACCATAAATGCAGGCCACCCGCAGCTGAGAGCATCCAACTTTATAAATGAACAGAGGTAATAGTAGACTTGGTTCAGAGTACAGTAAATCTGAACAGCATAATGTGGAGATGTCATAATGTCTGATACTGTAGACGTGTGTTCTAGGGTACATTAAAATACAGTGAAGGGGTTTCACTGTGCAGCAGTATAAGAATCCCTCCACTACTTTCTCTAATTATCGATTATCCATTCCTTTCAACCTGAGGAAGTATAAAAAAAGACAATAGAAAGATTGGTTATTATGTGCTAATTAAAATTTTGCTGTCAATGGAGATTATGTTTTATTTAGGAAAGCTTCTTTTTTTAATTATTGGTAAAATTGGTTTTATAGATTGTCATAATAAATTGAATGCATCAGTTTATATAGCAACAGTTCAATGAACATTTTTTACAAAATCGTTCAGCTCATGATGACACAGTGCAAATGCTAAAAATGAACTTTTTAAATGTTTCATGAATTGCTAGAAATACCTGTATGATATGGGCAGGAGCAGGTTGTTCTTCTTCAGAGCTTGCACTTTACAGAGAGTCTGGGGGTCGAGGGCAATATAACAGCGTCTGGCATAATCCAGAAGCTTTTCTTTAGATGGATCAAACTCCCCCACCTCTGCCAACTTCTCTGGAGCCACCAGCAAAAGCTCAGCAATAGGGGTGGTAGAGGCCACAGTATTACGATCCACACCATGGATCTGGAAGGCCTTGGACATATTCTTTAATCTCTGGTATGTCACCAGGATCTTTTTATAACGGAACAACACGCCTGCAGCATCTTTCACTGGAACAACAGCAAAAAAGGAGAGAAAAAAGAACAAGCCTTCAGTTTATTGGTTAAATACCATGCCAGCTATTTGTTATGCATGTTATATTTAACCTCTTAAGGCCCAAGGTGTTTTTTACATGCATTTTTTATTTCTCTTTGCTATTTGAGCTTATTGGAACCTAATTAGAATAAAATATAAGTATCATCTTTTGATATGATGTACTTTTAGAGAAAAAATATGTCTATATATGTGGACTGGTGGTCTGAATTTACATAAAACACTTTTTCCTGGCTGTTTTTAATGCATATATAACATACATTTTTACAAACTTGCTTTGACTATCAGAGAGTAAAAATAAATAAAAATAAATCCCCATTTTGGACAATTAAAAATATTGTTTGGGACATTTCAAATGCTGCAAAACAGTTGCAGGATGACACTGTATGTCTGTAACAAAATATGAAACATTCAAAGTATTTTAAATAACCACTTAAAGGGCACCTATGGTGAAAATCCACTTTTCAAGCTATTTGGACAGACATGTGTGTAGATATAGTGTATAGGCGGTCATATTGGGGTGAAATAAACACACAGAGTCCTTTTTTTTTTTTTTTTTCAATTTAACAACATAAAAAAACGGTAGACCAATTGGATCGATTTTCAGACCGACTGCAACTTGATGTAGGAGTGCGGTCCCCTCGCCCACCAAATTTATTGACAGCTGCGCAAATTAACATGTCCTGGTAGTCACATCAACATGGCCAGATGTGCGCAAAGCAACTGGGAATAAAAGGTCTGTTTGGTTTGCTAGAATCATCAATCATCATCAAATGTGATCAAGAGTAATTTTCACGTTTAAAATGTTTTAAAACAGTGCACGTCTATTATGAAGTACAGTGATTTACTTCAGCTTTACTTCATCAGCATAGCCGCGTGTCAGAACAATTATAAAGGATGCTTCAATCCCGCTTTGTGGATATTAACCCTCTGGGGTCTGAGGGTGTTTTGGGGCTCTGGAGAAGTTTTGACATGCACTGACATTTGTGTTGTTTTCAGTATGTTAAAATAATACAATAATACCCAAGCAGCATGTTCGTATGTGTTTGTGTTTTTGAGAAAGAAAAGTTTATGTGTGGTTAGTGAAAAACTAAAATTTTGAAGTCACTGAAACAAGGCCGTGAAACACACAGAGAACATTTGTGCACAAGACTTTTGAGAACTGGATCTGGTAGTCTAGTGTTTTTGCTTCAAAATGAAGTGAGAATCATCTTGTTAACTAGCTCAAAGAAAACAATATAATGAATTAAAAATTCTAAGTCACTTTTTAGGTGAAATTGGTTTATGCGAGAAGGCGTGAACTATCATTACTATGCAGTGAGTCACACCTGAGAAGACAAAGACCTGCATAATGAGCTGCATAATGAGCCATCAGACAGGTACAGTATGTGACTAGGAGGGAAGAGTTTCAAGAAGGAATCAGAGGATAGTTTATATACTTTTTTTGTTTGCAGTTTATTTAAAATATATATTTCACACAAAATAACTGGAGATACATTTGTGAGAGTTGGTACACTCTATAAAACTCTGCAAACTTTTAAACTTACACATATAAAATCCACAGATTTAAGATTAAGAGTTTAAATGCAAAATGAGATATATCTATTTTGAGAAATGTTGGTTATTTGACATTATTACTTAAGACATCAACAGTCAAGTTTATTCACAATTTTACACATTAAACTATAAAGCTCAGTGAAGTCCAGGAACACAATATTCTTCAAACTCAGGATATTTTTTTATTTAACTTTGTCTATAAATAGTTTATAAATAAGTCAAAAAACATGCCAAAATGCAACATATTATCTTAACATTGTCAAACATCTTAAATTGGTTAAAAAAACAATACATCATAATATATGGAATAGTATATACAAAGTTTAAATTAAAATAATACGATTCTGAGTTAGATTTGGTAATTTCATATTAAAGCAATGTTATTTTAAAGAATGATAATTAATCCATATTAACAAAAATAACTGTGAGCAAAAGAAAGCAGGTGAAAAACACCATGTGCGATAATGAAATCTTTTAAACAGTTGCTCCCATCACAGCAGCTTTTTGGCGCAAATTATCATCCTCTCATTCGGTATTCACAGTAATTATTTAAAGAATAAACTTACAAAGGACACTTAGAAATGTAGTCTGGCAGACAGGTATCTTGTGATGAGGAGGGGCGCAGGAAAAATGCAGTATTTCACTGTAACCCCTGGCCTTCTTCTGGACATCAGCGGAGACTGACTGATGCAGAATTACATTATTTTGTTCCACTTTTGTAGCGTTTTTATACATTTTTTTGACGTTGAAGGCTACATCTTCATCTAATAGTTTGTCGGCATGACAGAGACCAGCATTACTCGCATTACTGACCAAACTCGGAGCACTTCTTGTCTACTTTAGCTCTCTTTGCCACTGGTCCTTTACCTTCGTTGTTTTCACATCTCGATTTACATTTGAACAGCGTGCTTACTGAGAGGCGGGACCACACTGCTATAATGAGGCGATATAGGAGAATCCGTACTTTTATAAGGATTACATAAAAAGAGATCATTTGTTTTCGACTTGAATTGTTTAATGCAAAAGTAGACATAAAGCTTTATATCGATATCATAAATCATCATCTTTGTTGACTATTTGCCGAGTTTCCTTTCATTTTAGTGGCATGTTTTTCTGAACACAGTCTGCTCGTGTCTTCAGATGCTTGTAATAACAATGCCTCGTGGGCGTGGTCGCATTAAAACTAATGAGATCAGACTGAGAAACTAGACATAGCGTTGGTTTCATACTGATTACTTTATCAAGCAATGTTTGTTTTCATTGCGTTTAAAAGTAGACACTTTCAGCTTTCTAGAAATACATGTCTCATCTGTGTGCGTTTTGTATTTGCGGAGTTTCAGCGCATTTTACTGACGCGTTTCTAAAAGCAGTTCAAGGAGAGAGAAAAGAGAGATTGCCTACACTGTTTGTTTTCCTTATTTTGTAAAAGCACACACGTTTGTTATTGTTGTGAGTGTACACAACAAAAAGTAGACACATAACAGATTCGATTGATGTATTGATCTTATCTGTACGATCAAAACTGAAAGTGTAAGTTAAGTTCATTTCAGCAGTTTGACGACACCACAGGTCAAAACGCGTATATGCGGTCTTCGACCCCAGAGGGTTAAATCAGGTATATTTTGTATTTTGTACATTAACAACAGAGATCTATACAGCAGTGGAGATTAGTCTGTATCCTGTCACATTTGCGTGCAAAAAGAGTGCAAAGCTAAACGCGCTCTGTCTGTCTGTCTGTCTGTGTGTGTGTGTGTGTCTGTGTGTGTGTGTGTGTGTGTGTCTGCACTGTGTATCTGTGTGTGTGTGTGCTCGAGCGTGATTTTTGTAACAACATTGTGTGTGACTCATCGATGCATCTCCACAACAAAAACTCATTGGCAAAGTTCTTACTGTAGTATTTCTCAAAAAAACGCTACGTGAGATCTTCTTTAAGTCTGTCTGTTGTCTGATGCAGCCAAGGGAGGAGATTAAGGCACGCAAAAAGCCGCATAGAAACAGTAGGCGGGGAGGACTAGCCTTAAAGGCGCATTACAACTAAACCGCCCCCCTGGTGCAAAAATATATAAAATACAATCGTGTAAAAGATCTAATGAAAAATCTTATGGGTGTTTCAAGTTGAAACTTTACAGACACATTCTAGAAATGCAAAACACTTATATTAAATCTAAAAAAAGGGGTAACCTAGGTGCCCTTTAAGAGCTAAAATGTGCTGTCCACGTTTTTACAATATTTTTTATCTAAAAACTTCAACTGCATTTACCTTAAAATCTTTTCAAAATAGTTAAAGGGGTATTTCTTCCAAAAATGAAAGAAACATTTAGCCAGCCCCAATTGGTTTCAAACCTTTATGAGTTTCTTTATTATGCTGAACACAAAACGAGATAATTCGAAGAAAGCTGTCAATCGTGACTACTTTTTTCAGCTTTCTTCAAAACAACTTCTGTGTTCAGCAGAAACACATTATTTTTGTATATGGTAGGGCTGCACGATTCTGGCTAAAATGTGAATCACAATTTTTTTTTGCTTAACATCAAGATCACGATTTTCTCATGTTTCTGCAGAGGTAAAATAAACATTAATATAAGTAGGCTATTATTATTGTTATTTCTCAAACATATGGTAAAACAACTATGTGTAGGTTTACTGTTGGTTAAAATGCTCAATTGTGTATAGACTTGAAAAGGTGGACTTTAAGAGACTTTAAATATATTTTTTGTTAATTCAGAATAAAGTAATTACATTATAATAAAACTATTTATAATTCTAATGTTGAATTATTATGTTTGAAACATGCTTGTCATGAGTAAATCAATACATTAAGACAAAAATAAAATTTTGGGGTGAATTACAGCTTATAATTACAGTATGTAACACTTTTAACATCATTTGAAGGTGTCCATGTCTGTCCATGTTGCTGTGAAGACATTTTTACACTCTCTCCTGACCTTGAAAATATAATTAGCTAAATCATAGAAAAGCTGAATTAAGATCGCGTGTAGAGTCGAATCGTGATCCCGATCTTTTTCGATTAATCGTGCAGCTCTAGTATATGGCATTATTCTGGTGTTTTTATTACATTGTATGTTTTGGTATTTCACTGCCCAGAGACAAAGCAGAGAAAATAGCTAGTTCAGGAGCAGTTTACTAACAGCCCCTTTGTCCCAGTCAGGCAATCAGTAAATTAAAAAAAATAAATGAACCAATAAATTAGTTTCAATTTAAAAATCATGTTCAGAAAGAGAAAAAAAAATTAGGCAAATGTCATGATTCTTCCTTCTATTGCTCACCTCTCTGTCTTTCTCTTCCTCTGGCGATTCTGAAAACTCTTCTTCTCTTCAGAGCCGGGCGGCTTCCTGTATGTCTTCCAGCTGCACCAATACTCCTAAGTGTCATGTTGTCTGTAATTACATCCTCTCCTGACATCATTTCCTCCTCCTCCAGGTAGCTGTCCTCCAAATAGTCATCCTCTTCATCTCCCAGAAGAGAGAGGGACTCTATGGCAGTATAAGATAATTCTATTCAAGTTATTATATATATATATATATATATATATATATATAGATATATATATATACATATATATACATATACATATACATATACATACATATACATACATACATACACATACATATATATACATATACATAT